AACCTGGAGGGAAGCTTCTACACAAAAAGTTAGGCTGGAAGATTGGGTGTGAATGGAAAGGGCTCTAGTTGAACCAGTTTGTTTCTCACCAGCCAAAGTACATGGACCCTACTTGCACTGCTTTGGTAGGGGTGGATGCTGATCTGAGCAGGAACAGAAATGTCCCAAACAGCCTGCTATGGTGACATTTTCATTTAAATATTACCCCCAGCACAAACTTTAGAACTTCCCTGCTGGGGAGACTACCTGAGATTACAGTACAACACCAACGCAGATTGAACAGAAAACAGAGTAAAAACCAAGTTCTGTTTCTCTCACTCCCATCCTGCTCTTGCCCAACTGCCATATCTCAAAATCTGTATTTTACTTTATTTAAAAAAACAAAACAAAACCCACAAACCCAAGGCTCCCCAAGAAAACTTCTAAAATTTTTTTTTTTGTGGCATGATTTTTATGCAGAGGCTGATAGCTAGTCATGTTAGCAGCCCACCCCCAGTACCCCAAAGAAAGTTAACAACCTACACATGGATCTACCAGGCTTTTCTGTATCACACCAGGCTGTTACTGCTGCCCTGCCCCAGCTCAGTACAAGGCCCTGTAAAACCACAGGGAAAGCAGCTGGCCATGCTGGGTCCCAGAAGACCTGCCCTCAGCACCCAGGTGATTACAGCATTAAAATCCTTGTCAGGGAGGGCCCAGTATGTCTTCTCAGAAGGGCAGAGTTAAAGCTACCGGTACCCCCAGTGGGTACCTCGGTCTGCAGTTCTGCTTCTCAGGTGTTTACTGCATGTCAGCTCTGCTGCTCCGAAGGTCTAATCTTGGGCACAAGGAGATGCTGGTGGGTGTTAGCTCTGATGATACGTTATTTGGAGGCAGTTAATCTTTAATTGTGGCCCTATACTGAACTAGTAAAGGAGAAGGGAGAATGGGAACAGGAATCTCCTCTGCTTGAACTTCTACTTTAATATAGTCTCAAAGCCCAGTGCCTCTGCACTCGGTGGTGGTTCCCTCAGACAGTGCAGGGCTTCCTGTGACAAGAACTAGCAGGAAAAACCCTTTGTTTTCCTTTTGCTTCCTTTCCCATTGCTTGAGAGGATCCTGAATCCTGCAGGACATGGCAGGATACCTAAAAGATAAAGGATTAATCTGAGAGTCAACTGGTTGGGTTGCAGACCGGTCAGCAAGGTGTCCATGCCTCAGTTTCTCTTCTCACCCTTGGCTTGTGTTCCTAATGGGGCAGGGCCTGTTCTTTGCAGGGTCTGCGGGCAGCACGTAGCTCCAAGGGCCTCTCTCCCTTGGGCAAGGAGAAAGAGTCTCCACTGCAACCACATTCTCCAAGTGTCAAGTCATGCCCAGGTCCTGCTGTCCCCAAAGCAGAACCATTATGATGTGGAGGCCTCAGCAAAACTCCAAGCATGAGGAGAAGGGCTAGTGCTGTTCCACCTGGCCCTGCTTAGTGCCAGCCCTGTCACCAGCACCAACAAGCCACCCAGAGTCACCTCTCACTGTGGGAGGAGGCAGGCAGGACAACAGGAAGGCAGCCCATCTCCCTGTTGGCTGTGGGAAGAAAGAGGGCTGCTGAGTTTCCCAAGAAATCATCACAGCAGGAGTCTGATGAAGCAGAGCCATCACTGCCTGGGTAAAGCCAAGAACTCTCATAAACTGAGCCCCATCTCTCAGCAGCACAGCTCACGTGGGACTGCAGGCCCTGGACTGGGCAGCCATCTCTCCTATCAGAGGATTCCAGCCCTGGTTTGCTACCTGAAAAGCCATATAAAATAACCAGAGCAGATGGCTCGGGGATTGCCCAAGAACACCCAGCTTTGCAAACCCAAGGAGCCTGCCCACACCACAGGAAAATTAACGGCTGATAAAAGCGGGAGTTCACTTCTGTTTGATTTTTCTCCTTCCCACACTGTTCTGCAGCTGGTACTAGTGGTTATCCCCACCACAGAGCTCGCTGCATCTCAACAATACTCTTACTTGTTAAGTTTGCTTTCTCAGCAAATCCTGAACATCTACTCCTCTAGAAAAAACACAGGTGGGTATCACTGTGTTCTGCTGTATCTGCAGCCCCTGGCCCAGCAAATTCTCATACTTTTATTGTATCCTGAAGGGTTCTAAGCTGCTTAGGAGAAAAAAATACCCGGTTTCCAAGGAGAGACAATTTCACCTACTACTGTATTGCTGCTACTTCTGGAGTGAGCTGCAAACATTGCAGCAGTTTAGGGAGGAAATGAACATCTGTATCACTTGTCCCTGGCACTGCCTGCAGTGAAGAGCACATGTGGAAGCATTTCCCACACTGGTTATACTCGAGAGAAGGAAGATGGCAGAGAGAGGGGGCAAGGGAGCCACAGCATCTCACTGAGCAGGGAAGAAGATGCAGTAAGTTGCCTCTAGAAGTTATACAGCAGCGTGAAGGGAAAGCAGAGATGACAGCAAGGAAATGGGAGGGCTGATAAGGATCTGTGGCTGTGAGGCAGGTGTGTGCTAGGGAGCAGATCATGTGCCAGCAGAGATATGGGGCTGTTGCTGCATTTTGTTTGTTTCCCTTTACCTGGCTGACATGTCTTTTCATGTCAAAAATTAGATCAAAGAGAGAGATGTAAATAGCTGAAACAGGCTTCCTTGTGGGAACAGGGCTGAGCACCACAGCCAGCCTCTCAGCTGGATCCCTCCCTGGGAGCAGCATGAGGAGCTGTCATCCTCCATTAGCTGAACACCCAGGAAAGCAAGTGTGCAACTGCTGGGTGCTCTGGGCATTCAGGAGCCAAACCAGGCAGTGAGGCTGCAAAAAGTTGCTCTCCTCTGCAGCTCTCTCTTCCCTGGGCCACCACTGATGCTGATGGGACACAAGCAGGACTGTAAGGACAAGTGCTTTGGTTTCATCATGTCAGAAGCCCTTCAGAGTCAAAGGATATTTGCACTTGGTCCTTGATTTATTTATTTTTAAATCTCCCTCTGCAGAGTCATGGTGTCCACTGAGAAAAAGGGACTTAACACTTCCTTTTAATCTCTGCGTAGCTCTTATTTGGTGGGAGTGAAATCACCCTCACTGACATCATCTGAAGCTGAGGCTGCAGAGCACCTTTGTCAAGAAAGGCCCCTGTAATCCTCCAGTAGCCCCTTTGACATGAGGGGACCTCATGCTGCAGGCTCAGGGTATGGAAGCCAGGTCAGAAAATCACGGACTGCATCAGAGAAGAGGGAACAGCCGACTAGCCTGGGCAATCAAATGCCCTCATATGCTGCACAGAGAGAGAGGTATCATCAAGGCCTTGGCCTACTCTTGTTCCATGGATGGACACCAGCAGTGGCTTTACTCCTCATCTGTACTCCTTTGGGCAAAAGCACCCCCCGTTTTCCAATGCCCCTCTGCTGAAGTCCCACATTTGGAAGTGGAGCTCTGTCACTGCTGTCCTGTTCATTCACATTCTAAGAAAAAGGTCTGCAGCATTTTTATTCCTGCCCTTTTCAAGGCAGGAAATTCTTCTGCATGGCATCCTTCACACGCACACAGTTCACCAACAGCGGGGCCACATCCCCAACATCCTCTGTTCTTCTCAAGAAGCTGCATCACACAAGGGTGTTGGGCTAAGATGGCGCAGTGCCCATGCTCTCAAAGCCCGGGGTCTCCCCTGGCTACCCCTTCCCTCTCCAGCTACACATAGTCCCAGCAGAGATTAGAACTGCCTGTGGCCTACTCTGAACTGGGCCTGTTAGTAACAGCTCCCAGGGGGCTGGTCAGAGTCAAGTGCACTGTGCTCTGCTCCTTTCCCATGCCTCCACAGCAGGGGTTGCTGGTGCAGGGAAGAAAACTGGCAACATTGTTCTGATCCCAACACGGGGCTTCCCCAGCCTACCCTGCCCCTTTGATCCTGATCTTGGATTCTAAAAGCCCCAATCCCTGCTCTGCACAGGGAGCTCAACTCTGGGGTTTATATTCAATAACCAAGAGCAGGTCAGATACACTGGCATGTAACATTACATTTCAGGGGAGCGAGGGGGTATAGATTTTTTTGCAGAACCTCCAATCAAGTGCCCTATGCTGTTAGTGCGGGGCATTTGCAGGAAACAAACCACAGGTAGAGAAGGGATTGTGGGCTAAAAAGGCTTTAAAAGAGGGGACTACAGCAAGAACACGTCTGAGAGCAGACTAGAGCCAAAGCTACAGGGCACAAGAGATTCCTGAAGTCCCTGGGAAGCAGCTAATATTACCAAAGGGGCTGGTGCCCTTCCCCCTTTTCCTGTTTCTGCTACTCTCACTAATTCTTTTACTGCTGCCAAACCCAAACCACAGCAGTGCTCTTCCCTCCTACACAGTGCTCAGCAGTGGTTTTCAGGGCTATGGAGTAGGCTTCACAGCTTCCTGGGAGAGGTGGTACCACCACAAAATGCTGTGCCAGCCTGGAGAGCAGCAGCCCCGACCCTCCCCACATCCTTTCATGAGCCCCATACCTGTCACCAACAGGGAGCTGTACCAGCAAAAAGTTTTGGGTTTTTTTTTTTACTTCTTGTCACATCTCCCTCACACATCAGGCCTGGGCCCTGCAGGTGGGTGTAATCAAGAAACCACAGGCCAGAGTTAAGTAGTTATTAGTATTTTAAGGGGAGATGAAAGTTTGAACAACTGGGAGCTGGGGTTTGGCATAATAACAGAAGCGACCGACTGCTCTGGCTAGTGTAAATCAGACAGGGCCTCACCGGCGAGTCCTTTTGTAAGGTCCTACCTGGCTCCTGAGGGGCAGCTCTGTCACCCTACACGGCACGCAGCCCTTTGACAGCGCCTCCCATCCCGAGCCCGCGGCGGGCAGCATTACCCCCGTTCATCCGTCAGGACCGAGGCCCGGCGCCGAGGCCGCTCCCATTACGGCCATTATTCCCCCAGCCGCCGGTGGCAGGGCTGCAACGGGGGAAATTTCTTGCTGCATTTGGCTGTGCTGGAACTGCCTTTCCACACCTCTCTTCGCTTTCTGCCTTTGCTTTCCAGCCCCCTCCCGCGGAGTGGTGGCATGGAGGTGTGGGGGCCGCTGGCAGCCCTCTCCTTCCTCCTTGTCACTTGCTAATTGTGCAGCCACGACGGTGCACGGTCCGCGATTGTTAGGAGGGAACGCGGTTCTTAAATGCACTCGCTTCTGGGACTGGAGTTGTCATTGGGTAGGTGAGGAAACGAAATGTTACCTTTTACCATTGCGGGTTCTGGGTCTAGGTGTGTGAAGGGAAAGCTCAGATGTAAAATCAGATGTTTTCTCTCTTCCTCAGTCTTTTGCTTAGGTAGCTTCCCCTTCTCTTTGCTCTCAGGACATATGTTGTGGTATGTGCGCTCCAGGATTTTGGTTTTTGTTTTGATTTGTAACTGTCTTCTGTGCAACTTTCGGTCCTGTCGACGTCTTGGTACAGGTAGTGTTAGAATGAAGAGGTACGCTTCAGGATAGTCTATCTCTTTGGTCTTAATAGTATTATGTAAGTCTCTTTCTTTAATCACGACAGAGTTTTGGCATCTGGTGCAGTAGAAGTGATTTAAGTCAAAGCGAGGGAACTACTGTAGACATAAAGGATGTGAGGAATGTGCATTTTTATCTTTTCAGGGGATGACCTGAGCTGTATTGTTCTGGGAATGGCAACTGGCACATGCTTTGTTGACAGTGGTGTATGCGCGGTGAATCAAGAGAATGATGGTGGGGTATGTGTGTGCGCGCTGAATAAAGGAGATGTAATGTGTGAGCATTGATTTGTGAAGGATGGTCTGGTGCACCTTGATTTCCCACCGTGCTGATTGACTGCAGCTTGATTGTTCGCATGTGGAAGTTGGGTGCTCTGCCTTTTGGGGGTATCTGGTGTGAATTAACAAAATGCATTTTTATAGATGCAGGGCTGTGGACACTGGTGGTGTTAAAAGGGCTGTGGAGTTGCAAAATGTCATTTAAAAGGATCTAGTATTTTATGGTAACAGATCTTTTACATCCTTGATATGGGTCTGGTGTTCTCATCGGTTCCTATTTGAAAACCCCTTTACATTCTACCTGCGTGTAGGATGCGTTTTCTTCTGCTTTATAGAGATTAATCAAGCACTTGCAGTATGGTTGTTGTGTTGAATGAATGAAGAGCCCCATCCCTGCCCCAGGCAGCCAACACTTAAATTTAGATGTTGATAATGAAGTTGAGATATAGAGTAAACGCACAGTGTAAATGTGTAGTTAAGGGATAGAAATTTTGAAAGCTTTTTCAGTGAGTGTGTGTTTGAAAGGAAATCATGAAGGCTTTTTATTTTTCTAACTAAGCAATTGTGTTTAATAGGATGTCAGAGACTTAAGATTTTATTTATAATGTTATCTAGTATTTGGTGACTAGTATTTATAGCTACTTAAGATTTAGTTGCTGTAATTGAGATTTGGGGAGATCAGTAAATGCCTTGTGGCTTACCATCTGTAATATTTATAAAAAAACCTTTCAAATATTTACACGATCAAAAGAGACTGGCATTATACACTATTGTGAATTTGTTTTAAAGGACTTAATTGATTATATTATTTCCCCTCATCTAACACTGATAGAGGAAGCCTTTAACTGATGTTTTCTGGCATGTAAATTCTTCAGCAGTTTTGTACGAATGGTTAGGTATATATATAGGGAGGCTAAATTATAAAAGCAGTTTGTCTGGTTCTGTTGCAAATGTAAGATATTGGGATGTTCTGTTTTTATTCTCTTTGCCAGAATCATAGAATCTGGAAATTTCATCAGATGGTATTGCAGAGATGAGATTTCATCTAAAGGTGGAAAGTCTTTACATGTACAAGAAATTTCTTGTAGGTCAAACATACTTTTTCTGGTGTCATACCACCTAAAGCATGAGATGCCTATGTGTGACACGGGAAGAGTCCTTAGAGCGTTAAATAGATATTTTCAGTAAACAAGATCCCATCTCCCAGCTTTGATCTCCTGTGTAGTATCAGTGCTAATGGAAGAGTGGTGTGCCGACAGCATATTTGAGATGGGCACAGGTATACTTGTGGTGATTACAAAACTACATGTCATCAGTGACCTATTTCTCTGTGGCACACTATAATATGCCTTATCAAAAAAAAAATTTCTTTCTAACCCCACAAAAAAGAGACACATAATTGGAAGAAAGTACCAACCAATTGAGAAGATTGATATGTTCTCTGACAACCTGATTCTGTGGATTATTACTGTATTAAAATATTTTATAACCATTCTCTTACTTGGTTAAATTCCTACAGCACAGAACAGCTGATCACTTAATGTATTCTGCTGTGAAACAGCTCTCTCCAGAGAAGATTCTGATCTTAGCTTCTAAATGGAAGATGAAGTAAATTTTAAAGAAAGTAATTCTGTTTTTTAAAACCCTCTTAATTCACATTTTGCTAAATATGTGCTATTTGCCTTTTCAGAACCTTAGCATATCAACATTTTGGGTTTTTTTCCTCCACAATAGTTAGAAAAAAATGTGTATTTTTATGTGGAGGTCATTTTATTATCCTGAAGTTATACACTTTAAATATTAATGCAGTCAGTGTGAGATACTGTCTACAGTTGACATCACCGTATAATGTCTTGACCTTCCTTAAGCTGAGGAAGCATGCCTGAATTATTTCAGTGTTTTACAATAAGAATGTGTAGTTTTTAACCTTTCTGTGTATTGGAATGCCTAATTTCCAGCTGTTTCTATTGTAAATACGAGGCTTACATATTTTTAAAACTTCTCAATAAATATTGTATCAAAATTCTAAATAATTTTAACGTAAAAGGATGTTTTGTGTAGCAGTGACAAATTTTATGCCTTTAAGAATATTTTAATAAAAATATTTGTCCTTGAAGGTGCAAACTCTGTTTAAACACATACCCTTATAATTGAGTAAGTGTGAGTAAAATTATACAGTCTTGGGTCTTTGCAGGATCTTAATTTTCAGTATTTTGGAAAGTGGGTGGGGTTTGCTTAGAACTCTTTTAAGTAGAATTCATGCAGCTCTCATAACTACTGAAAGCATAACAGACAGACTTTACTAGTTCAGTTGAAACATTCGTTAGAACCTAAACTTTTAGTATCCAACTTCCAAGTTACCTTTGCAAATGCTTAACTTTCCAAGTGATCTTAAATTGGTGAGTTTTAGGTTGCTCCTTCCTCCCGAAAAACAATTGCATAGGGAGTGAAACTGGCTGTAGCTCTGGTGCCAGCAGCTTAAACTCATTAACACAAGCAGCTTGCATTAGTTTCCTTGACACTTTCAGACACCCTTCCCTGAGGAGGTTTCAGACTAGTAGTTTTCACTCCAGAGAAACATTTAGCTATGCTAAGCAACTCCCAGCGCTTTATGCTGTATTGCTCTCTTGTCTGTGTATTTTTAAGTTTTGAAATTTGATTCTTTCACTGGAAAAGTGATTTTAGGAATGTAATATGAAAGGCTAGCTTGCTTGAAGATAGGTTACTGGAATTAGGATCTAATATTAACACTTGAGACAAAACCTGTTAAGCCAATTTCATTCTGTCCCAGGTACTAAAGACAACTGAACAGAAAGTTTTTCAGCTGGAATTTTGGAGGAATATTTGTGCTACCCTTGCGAAAACAGATGGCTTGGTAGGATAAGGTAGTAGAGCTTTTCCTTTTTTACAAGCAGAAAGTTTTATACTTGAAAATTTACAGACAAGCATCCATTGATCCACATCCCTTCTTTTATGGGAATGTTGTACACAAAAAGTTGCAAATATTTGAGTTGGAGCATAGCTGAATCTTGCAGGTGCAGAAAGCTTACTAGAACTTTGCTTTTCCTATGGCTGACTAGTCTCATGGAAGACAGTAAAAATCTGTTCTGAACTCCCCAGTTGCTTGTGGGTCATGCTTATTTAAGCCTTTTTAGTGCTTATGTGATGAAAAGGGAATTATGGAATGTATCGTAATAGTGCTGTCTGAAGACAAATTACATACAGTGACAACTGTGAATTTTAATGGTAGAAGGCAGATTATTTCTAACGAAAAGCCTGATTGCTGTTGGTGTCCAGTATCCCAACACGTAGTGAGTACTGTCAACTAGCTGTGTCACTGTAATATTTTTGGACATTTGCTGAACAGGAGTATTTCTGTTTTGTGATTGATGCAGATACTTTTTGCTACATATGTTTTAAAGCAGCAGCTTCTCCTTCCTGCTCATACTTCTGTAGCTTTTCTGGTTCTGTCTCTTCTAAAAAATTACACTGTTTCCTACAGGGATGGGGAGCTCTATCCTTAATTCTGGTAAATATCCCTTTTTCTTTTTCAGGCTAGCAAATTTGAGGTGCTACTAACAAATGGTGGGGTCAGATGCATTGTTATTCCTCAGTAGATTTTGTATGCTTTCTCTCACTGTAGTAAATTCTCCAAGTTCCCAGTTAAGTGACATGCACTGTGCTTAGATTTCCTGTGTTTTAAACTACATGTCACTTTGAGGCACTTGTGCAGGGATAGGTGTTCAATGCGGTGACACCAGCGCGCTTGACATTGTGAAAACACAAGTTGTGGTATATAGATGTGGCTTCAGAAGTCTTTAGCAGGGACAGAAACACATCCTAATGAATCTTTATCGCCTGTGTCATGTAATAGTAAAAATGGCTGCTGAGAATCTCTCGTTTGCTTTATTGTAATGTGCATGTCTTGAATCGTTCATTTCACACTTAGTAGCTGCAGGACAAAATCTATTAGACTGAAATGCCATGCTGACTGCAGTTTAAAGGCCTGGGAAAAATAATGTCCTGAATGTAATTGCAACTTTTTGCCAGGCAGTTTTGTTTTAACACATACCTGCTTGCGCTTTTCTTCTTTCGCTTGTCCCTTTCTAAATTCATTCCAATAATTCTGTTTTCCTGTTTGGTGTCCCCTCACCTTTCTTTATTACACTGTTTTCTACTGCCTGTTTAAAACTCGTTTCCTAAACTAGTCGATTTTCTTTTCCCTCACTAAGATTTTCAGAGCTTTTCCTCTAACCTGCAGATTTCTCGATGAAGGATCCCACCTTCTACTTATCTTTGGTAAATCACCTAGCCCACTTATGGCACTATAAAATCATTTGAAATAATCTTTCCTGTGCACAACCACCTTGTATTATCCCACACTCCAAGCACTTTAAATTCAGACAATAAGATGAAGTTATTTATCCTTGCTGTC